TGAATTTCAATGTTGTGATATAACTACTCTATGCGAGTCTACAGTGAGCTCTGACCCTCTACTATATTAATTACTAAAAGTAAAATTAAGTTTCATTAACTGAGTGAGAAGTTATAAACAAAAGAACAATTTGTGTGAAACAAGAGCATGCCAACTCTTTGCAACCATGTCGTCTGTTGTCAGCGGGGTTTGATAGAACAGGTTAGGTTGAGTTATCTTTATTAAAGAGATTTTCAACCAGACGCTGGATTATCTCCGGCTGATAGAAACAGTTTCAATCGACCAAGAATTGATTCTAGTACCGTGGACCCCCGGTAATCTGCACGGTAGTGTTTTAGCGACGATGTTTTATGCCTTGTTCAGATTACAGAGTTATAACATGTTACAGCGCTATCTTGAGGGTGGTTTCTGTGTTGCAACTATTTGTCAACCGTTATAGCATGTTATAACTCTGTAGTCTGAACGTACTATTACAGTGAGAAATATGTTGTCGGTTCCGATAGCTCTGCCGACATGAAATTGGGGTTTCACCAACCTTTATGGCTCCATAGGGATGACGCATTCATAATTATGTATGGCTTCTCCTCTGCAGTTTGAGTATGGTCTCACGTGTCGTACGGTTAAATACACATTACGCCAAACACATTTATTAACGATTAGACTAACATTTATTTACTACTACTTACTCTAGTCATAATCTCTCTATCTATCTAATCTCACATTAACGCAGCCAATACTTTGAAAGCATCCTGGAAAATGACGACTTCACGAATCCGTCATTTTTCTTGTCAACGGCCAGGCCAACTGCGCAGCATGTGCCGCAGAGAGGATTTCAAGGAGTCAAGTGATGTCAGAAATGAATATCTGAAACCACTCAACAACCTGAGATCAAGGGAAAGGAAGAAAGCGTGGACCTCCCGTACCAAACGCTACTTAACTCTAGTCATAAGTGTAAAAACTACGTATGGTTCCCCCGATCGAACCGTTTTCACCGGCGAATCAATAGCCACTAGCGATGAATTTGGGGTTCGCAAGTTCCATCCCGCTCCAACAGATCGATCTCTCGGCCACGATCTCGATAAGAGATAACGGCCGATTATCCTCTCCCGCAGGCCGATCGTAACTCACCACCACATAGCCTATGTGTGTTTGGTAGATGTTGCTGAGATCACCACGCCGTAAACAACAAGATCCTGCCTATATGTTCTGGATATAGTGCAGTTGTAGCCAACGACACAAGGAATAGTGGACTGTATGTAAAAATGATGACCATTCCACGGTTGTAGTGCGAGGGGTTCAAGGTGATTTCCAACATATGTAATGTGTTATAACTGTTTGTCTGGTGCTTTTACCATATACAGGGTGAAAGGTAATTCCTGTCAGTGTTCTTAAGCAATTGTAGTATCAAATGGGTTAATCACATACATGTCTGCATATTTTCTTTTAGAGTCTGTTCAAATGTCAATACGGAATGCAGGTTTGTTTTGAATTTTCATTCGTTTGATACTCGTGATAATCATGGACGCGAAAAGGGAACGAGTGTTAAGCCTGTTTTTGACGCATCATAGACCGTGTTCTATTTTGAAGACGCTGAAACCACTCGGAATAAACGAACGATTCATCTTTCGCACCATTAAACGGTACAAGGAAACCGGTTCGTGGAAAATCCCTCCCAGACCCGGCCGAAAACGCAGTGTTAGAACTCCGGAAGTTATCAAACGAGTGAGAGAGCGAATTTTTTTCGGAATCCTTGTAAGTCTGGGCGTAAGATGGCCAAAGAACTCGGAATGTCGCAGCCAACGATCAGGAGTATTTTGAAAGATGATCTCGGATTGAATGCTTACAAAACAACAGCGGGTGCATGGTTTGACCAGAAAGCAAAAGATAGGGTTAACTATCCCATTTTCAGCCTATTAAGCACAACCCGCACTTAGTCTTTCTTAATCTAGCGCAGTTTAGCACCAAACGGAATGTTAATATTACTGATGGCCTCCAAATTTATTTACCTTTCCGTACATACCGTAAAACTTGATAAAGAGAAACCAATCGTTGAGATATTGTCAAAAGTCTAACACTGCTTCTTGACGCCAAATTCGGCCTACGGATTCTAAACTTGGCCTAACGCATTGAAACGCCATTGAAACGCAAATGAATTCACTTCGGCCTATCGGATGAAGATAAAAATTGATTCGGTCGGAGCGCTTCTTTTGTTTTTGGGAATTATGGGTGCAAACCTTCATATCACGCGTTCTCATTGGCTTCGTTCGGTAGCTTATTAACTAAAGTATCGTACCAAACTCATAATTGACTTGTTAACTCTGAAATCATGGAATTATTTTGTGTTTTCTGCACGACAGGCCCAAAATGGGCGATTAGGCCGAAGTAGTTCTCTACCCTAGCTAGAGTCGAAAGATGTCGGAAACTGCTCAAACTGTGATTGCGAAATTCTGTTTTGGGATGAGAAAATGTCCCTGCTACAGGATCACCACTACCAGCAAAATGATAGGGTATATGTTGCATATCTTGCTGATATTTCTCGTGACAAACTGGCTGTTCAAAGGTTCCAGAATGTTTCCAGGGTGATGGTTTGGGGATGTTTCTCCAAAACATTGAAAGTTCGATTGCTGTTCAAACCTTTCTGGTGTTAAAGTCAACAGTAAATATTACATCGATAATGTTTTAAAGACCCACTTGCTTCCCTTCGTCCAAAAACATTATAATAATGCACCATACTGCTTCCAACAAGACTCTGCCCCGTCCCATCAGGCAAAAGTTTCATTTCGTCGAAAGAGTGGCCTGCCTCCTCACCCGATTTGAATCCTCTCGACTTCTTTACAAGGAGCTACATATAAGGCGAACTAGGGAGTACCAAGGGACTAACCGTGGAAACTTTTAAGCAACGTTTGGTTGAAAATATGGGACTAAATGCCTCAAGATTTTCACTGTAACGATTTTCAAAAACGGATGCGGCTTGTAATTAAAGGAAAGGGAGAAAGATTTGAATTGGACTAAGTTAAGACAAATGTACATTCATACCACTGTGGTCATAAAGTTACTAGAAGTTCAAATTAAAAATAAACCCCGTTAATATGTACGAAGTGACTGAGCTAATTTTTCAAAAATATTAGGTTTTTATTTTTAGCTCATAAACTGCCATGAGCTACCATTATTCAAAAAATATTATTTTTTAAAAATTTGTAGCAAAAAGGTATTTTTTTAATATTATTCCAGAAAAACATTACTTTTCTCTACAACTTTGTCTCAGACGTCATTTCAATCAAATGTGCCGTTTACGTGCTACAAATTCCGTGGAAAATTTCAATGACGATATTTTGAAAATTTTACAATTCCAAATGAGAATTATTGCCCATAACAAATAATTGACTCCTTTGACGTGGAACTGCTCAGTGAATAAAAAAAAACAGATAAATTATGTTTTCAAGGAGAACATTGTGAATAATAAAATACTTGTGCGCCCTTACTGATTTAGTTAAGAGAGGCTGCCCTATTTCTGCATCGTGACGACACGAATGAACTATTTCAGTGGTTCTGATTACAAGTACTTAGATTTTATTCGTAATACGATTGTGGCTTATTTTAATCCGAAAAATCCCGAGGAAATGCGCGGTGAAAGGATGTTACTCGTTGAAATCACAGAAGTGTGGCTTAACATCCACAAATTTATCGAGCCAAAAAAAAAATTATCGGGAAAAAAAACTACTTAGTCAATGTAAACAGTACCACTAACTGTCAAAAAAGTTCATCCGATTGATGTTAAGCACTGACGGTCTCTTCAATAAGTCAGCTGTAAAACTGAGTACGAAACCTGTACCTGTACGAGCATGGTTTCATGGTTTTGTACACAATTAAAAAAAAAAGCTTTTGGAATTCCAAACGACTAGTTTCCGTCGTCAAGCAGCTAAACAATTTGATGGACGCACCAATGGTGCTTTCGAAAATGGGTCAAGTTACAATCGATTACCAAACTCAGTGCCTCCGTTGAAGCCACTAAATTCAATGTTATCATTACCCCTTCGTAAACAGCAACAAAAAACTTTTCAGTAAAAAAGTCATTTTCTTTCGGTTTTCTTTCTCGCAGATACCGACCGGATTCCGAAGCATAACAATAAATGGTTGTGGTGGTAATTCTGCTACTGTTGCTACTACTACCGCTGCTGGATAAGAACGGCGATGATGAGTTCGTCGGAACACACCAATCAAGCTGTCCCACACTGGCTGTGCGAAAACTGCCAGCGAACAACAACAACAACAACAAGGAGAAGCAGCACGAGAAAGGACGACGGGCCTTCCTACCTGCCATAGCAGCAGAGCCCCCGAAAACCACAAAGGCAAATCGTTCGGATTTTTATGGTTGTACCTTCTACGGTTAGGAGAGGCTCCCAAACCTAATAAACAGCAACACACCATCCCCAACTAGGTACTCTGGTGAAGAAATAACAAGAAAGCATCGCGTTCCAGTAGCGAAAAAACAACAATAGTGTGTTTGTGCCTAACCTAAAAACGAAGAAAATTGGTGTAGCGAAATCCATGCTGCTGCTGCTGTTACCTACTGGAAGTACACGCCATACCATCGCAGACAGACCGTGCGCGGGTGCTACTTCAACCAACTGCACTTAGTACTTACACGCCAATGTGCAAAGGAGTCACTATCGTTGTTTTCAACTATATTAATTTTGAGTGCATTTACTGCTAAAACTGTCATAACTCATGTGTGCTGACGCGTGTGCTTCCAAAGTGCTCTATTCACAAAAATGATCGTTCAAACTTGAAAATTTCCCACGCGGTGCAAAACGACTCCCTCTGACGGTACGCGTAATCTTACCGAACTAGCAGTAGTAGCAGTCAGAAGGCAACAACGCAGTCCCCGTAAGGTTCTATGTAAAAGGGCATTGATCCAAGTTCAATCGGTGCTCGGTAGCGAACACGTGTAGACCATCTGTGTCTGTGCCTGCCACATGGGAACTTGCGACGAGTGAATCGTTTGGAAAAGCTCTGGAAGAGGCAGTGGGAAGGCCGTGTCGTTGTCTATCATTTCAATAATAAATAATATTTACGACCGGGTCCCCCAACCCATCCAGTACCACGAGAGGGAAGGCAATAGAGTGGCAGTTTGTTTCGGAGTACATAGTGAACTATCGAGCATAAATTTCAGTGTTTTGGTTGAATCTATACCGTCAATAACGTGCCATTTTCTCGTCTCTCGCGCGGTGAGCTTATATGCCATAGGCGGAAAGTGATGGTAGTGGTGCCGCAGTTTTCCTGCAGAGAAGAAGACACCTGCCACGACGACGGTTGGCAGTAAATTTTACATCGCATCCTAGCCGTGTAGTGCCGTGGTACCTCTCTAACTAGCTAGCTAACGGGGTTACATACATACTGCCAAGTCGCATTTCCTTTCCCACGTGACGGTCGTTTTCGTCGTCTTCGTCGTCGTCGTCGTCGTCGTCGTCGAAGTCAGTCAATTTTCGGTTGTATCCGTTCAGCATAAAACAAGAAAATGTCTACGAGTCGTTATTTAAACTGGTCGCGACCGTCGCCCGGGAGGCATCATCCGCTCCGTAAGCAGATATCCTGCTTCGAGTCCTTTTCCGGTGGTGGGAGAAGTCTTTCGGTAAATAACCTCGCCTCAGTGTCCGCGGACAAAAGTGTCGACTTTGCCACCTTCGTGACGGCTGCCACAATCCATAAAAATCGCTTTCAAAATTATCACACTTACCATCAGGCACACCATCGGGGAACCATCATCACAGCAGATACCGGCACCGGCGGAAGTGGCTCATCGACACTGGTCTCGGACGGAGGGCCACCGAGGGCAACACCACGTCGTCGACCTGCCAGTGCTCACATGACATCCTCGTCGTCATCGTCGCCGTCGTCCTCAGTGCTATCCGGATTAACGATGGCCAAGAAGGTGAACACGCACGAAAGCCGAAAGGTCCTGACCAAGCAGCTCTCGCTGGATCATCCCGGTGCGCTGGGTCCTGCGGCGGGCCATGCATGGACTACGGCCGCTAGTCGGGCGCCATCAATCGGCGGGACCAGTTCGGTCGGTGTAGATCATCACGGTGCCGATCCGGTACAGAGTCCGAAAGTTTGTGCGAGCTCCGGCATCAAGAAACGGCCACCTGGATTAAGTGTGAAGAATGAGTACGTATATGTGATGATGTGATTAACAGTTGAAAGCTTGTGCTTGAAGGACGATCTAATTTCGAAATTATCGAACGTTGAGTGATTGGCACTGAAGTGCTCTGGGATCAATAGAGGGAGAAGATCCTAATATTTTCCCCTTATGGTAAAATTGGACGTTTGACCAACCGTTCTTGTTCTTCGATTTTTCACCGTTTGTCCATGGTTTTTATTTTTTATTTTTTTTATTCGGTAAGGACATTTTGAGATATTTGGGTTGGGTCCGGCGTCATTTCGATCAGAAGTGCCGTTTCGACGCTAATTTTTTTTTTTGAAAAATCTCAAGGGCGCCATTAAAAAAAATATACATGATCCAAAATAGCCAAATATTAGCAAAAAATATGAATAATTGCCCATAACAAACAATTATGCAAAGTTTCATCCAAATCGGAAAAGGTTGAGTTTTTACGATTGGTCATTTGGCGTGGAACTGCTCTATATAAACAAAATTCTTGATTCATCCACCTGCCTGTGAAAAACAGCTTTCTCGTTACATGGCTTAAATTTCTATTCTAATCACTATCGCAGGGGCACTCGTAACATGCCTAAGTTTATTTGTTTGTTTATTTGTATTCCTCCATCTGACAAGGTTGTCTTAATGAAGTTGGACAGGGAAAAGCCAAATTGAGTCATGGTGAACTCAAATTGGCATAAAAACCCTGTTTCTTTTCTTAAATTAAGTACATAGAAACAGAAACTAAACATTAACAATTACACAGTTCACAGCAAAAACAATGCAAAATACAATAATTACTACAGTGTAAATTAAAAACGTTAAAATGCGGTCAGTGTCATAAAAGTGTGTCAGCAACAGTGCAGCATCGTCATTGATTGTCAAGTCCTCGTGGAAGGGTCGAAAGCAACCGGAAACAAAAATGAAAACAGGTAGCACAATTCATACAGTCATCAGGGGATGGACAGTCACTCACCTGCTCATAATCAATCCATGCACATAACAGCTTTACAATCGATTACTTAGGCGGCGTTGAAAAGTAGCTGCAGAAGCTTCAAAGTCGAAAAGCTCAGATACATCATTGAAGCGAGAGGCCATGAACCGTATTGGGTCGTGTTGCCCGTATCGACTGTTGCGGGATGCCAAATGCAGGAAGTTACGCCGACGAAGGGGGCGTTCAGGTACATAAACGTTGATATCGGCAAGAATGGCAGGTGCATCCACCTCACTAGTTAATACTTTGGCGACAAAAACCGCTTGCATGTCAGACCTTCGTTTCTCCAGTGTTTCAATTCCTAACAGCATGCATCGATGTTCGTAGGGAGGTAGATTTAGATGTTCACGCCAAGGTAGATAACGAAGAGCTAGGCGCACAAATTTTCTTTGAACCGATTCTATACGGTCAACCCATATTATACTGCTGTACGGACACCAGACTATAACAGCAGATTCAAGGATCGAGCGAACCAAGGCGCAGTACAGTGATTTCAGACACAGAGGGTCACGGAATCCATCGGCAAGTTTAAAGATAAATCCAAGCTGCCTATTCGCTTTTGAAATCACATCAGCATAATGTGTCCGGAGGTTAAGTTCAGAGTCCAATATCACACCAAGGTCTCTAACCTGATTCAGCCGTTCTAGATCATGACCAGCAAGACGATAGTGGAAGATGATCGGATGACGTTTTCTGGAAAACGAAATAGTGTTGCATTTCGTTACACACAGTTCCAGTAAGTTCCGTTTGCTCCAATCCTCAAATGACTCCAACAAACTCTGCAGGTAGGCACAGTCCTCGATGCATGTGATTACCATGTAAATCTTAACATCATCGGCGTAGAAAACACGATTTCCAGATGGTAAAACAAACGATGCATCATTAATGAAAAGCGAAAACAATAGGGGGCCTAGGTTGCTCCCTTGTGGAACTCCGGATACAATCGGGAAGGCGGTTGAATGTGAGGAGCCTAATTTAACTTTCATAGACCGTCCTGACAGGTATGATTCGAACCAACGAACAAAGGCGACGGATACTCCAAATTTCTCGAGTTTTCGAAGCAGAATAGCATGGTTCACTCGGTCGAATGCAGCTTTGAAATCAGTGTATATAGCATCTACTTGCATGCCAGCGTCCATCGATCGAATGCACAATGAAGTGAATTGAGTGAGGTTCGTTGTCACAGATCTTTTTGGAAAAAATCCATGCTGGGCACTAGAGATGTAATTCTTGCTAGCTTCGAACAAGGCATCGTTCACGATTATCTCAAAGAGTTTGGAGCAAGCATTCAACGACGTTATCCCGCGGTAATTGGAAATATCACACTTGTCCCCCTTTTTGTGAATAGGAATCATGACCGAAGTCTTCCACGCGGATGGGAATGTCATTCGCTGTAATGAAATATTAAACAATTTCACTAGCGGCATCAATAAGACACTTGAGCAATTCTTAAGAATGCATGCAGGAATACCATCCGAACCGTATGACGCAGAATGTTTAAGTTTACGTATCGCTTTTTGTACGTGCTCCTCAGTGATTTGGAAAATTCCAAAGTCGAGCCTATCTGATGGTGTGTCATGGATGGCTGCATTTAGATGCGAGGACGAAATCGACATGTCCGAGAAGGCACTCTTGAAGTGATCAGCAAACAGCTCACACTTGTGGGCATCTGTGCTAGCAGAGCGGGCACCGAGATACATAGACGAAGGTAACCCATTTTCCTTACGCTTCGACCGAACAAATGACCAGAAACGTTTGGGATGCAGGCGTAGATTTCTCTGCGTACGGTCTATATAACGAGCATACATTTCGCGGTTAAAGCTAGTGTATTTATTGCTGACCAGAACAAAACGACGTTTCAGGTGTTGTGATCGATTACGTTTGAATTTCCGAAGAGCAGTACGTCGACAGCGCTTCAATCTACGAAGCCGATTGTTTGTCCATGGAGGTTTCAGAGTAGGACGCTGAAGTGGCACGTGAGCTTCGATAACACGACGTATCTCAGAGTTGAACGACTCAACGATGTCATCCAGATCTCGTTCGTCATCCAAAAATTGCCAATCAATCACAGAAAATGCTTCACTCATCAAGTCATAGTTGACACGGCGGAAATCAAATTGCGGGTTCTCGTGTGGCTGATCAAATCTCACTGGTGACGGCAAAGAAACGGCAACCTCAATAGCGGGATGTGCAGTGTCGAGTTCTACAAGAGATTCAACCGCTTCAGAAATGCTGCAGTTAGGTAGTGCTGTATCGTTCACCAGTACTAAGTCAAGAGTACGAGAACTGGCATTTTTCACAGAGTTGATTTGCGTCAGACCATTGAAACAAAAGGCATCATATAGAGCACCATCAGAAGTTGAAAAACGGGATATACTGGAATCTATATGAAGTCCGCCATCCTCTGAAGCAGTCCAATGCATGTTGGGGTGATTGTAGTCACCGAACTGAAGCGCAAAATCATGAGGTTTCAAGCATGATATTACTGAACTAACAGAATCGCTATGAAGCTGAATGAGGGACAGATCATCTCTACGATCAGGTGGTAGATATAATACTCCAATACTGACTGAACACGTTTGCAATTTGATTTTTACCCACAGCTGTTCCAAAGCATCACTAACTGGAGCTGGGTCGACACAGCAGCACAATCTAGTAGACACTGCAATCAAAACTCCACCGCCGCGCAGCTTTCTACTGTTCAGTGGATTGCGATCAGTCCGAAAAACAGTGAATGATCCACCAAATAGCTGAGTTGATAGGATGCAAGTGTCGAGCCACGTCTCGGTTAGAACTATCACATCATACTCCGAATCTGCCGCAGCGAGATAGAAGGCATCGATCTTCGTTCGGAGTCCACGGACATTTTGATAGAAGATACGAAGTTGAGAAGAAGAATTTGAGGGAGGCATGCCAGTAATCTGTTGAGTCTGAGCGCAGACAGGGTGGATCACAGGACTACCACTTTCAATCTCAGGAACGAGTCGGTTGCGATGAACAAAAACAGCATCTTGCAGGACAAGGTCAGAGGGCCTCGATGCTTCTGGAGAATTACCTGCGACGTGCAGCGGCAACTGGATTGAACATGGTGAGGCTGGTGTGCTGTTATTGTCAATATTAGACCACAATTGTCGTGGAGCAGAGACGTGAGATGGTACTCTGGAAACCAAGATATTTACAGGCAGAGAAGTTGTTGTTTGCTGACTGTACTTGCCTACGGTTTGATTTTGGAAGACCCATGTGATGAGTAAGTGGCGTAGAACTTAATATATAGTAGTTTAACGCTGGGTAAAAACAACTTAAAAATGGGTATTGGCTTCTCAGGATGAGATCCATTTGGCGAATTTTCACTTAAATTTGACAGATCGACTTAAATTAGTCAAAATGAATTAAAATGGTCGAAAGTTCCTTTTTTTGTTGATCGGTTGATTTTCTAGAAGATGTTTGTCAAAATTGATTCCTTGTCGGGTGTTTATTAGACTGATGCAAAATTTGAAATTTTCGCTCCACAGTGTTCAAACGGTTTCAAATCGGGTCCTGATTAGCCTCCGAAAGTTTAAACTTATTTGATAAGACTGTCTTGGCACAAACCATTTGAAGTTTATATGGAAATTACTATGGAAAAACAAAACTTTTTGTTAATTGTCTTCTTGCCTTTTTACATATTGTACTGTTAACAAATTCAATTTTTATTCTTATGGGAATTTTTATCAGCTACAACTTTGCAGAAAATCGTTTTTCAGCCAAACGTCAAATTAAATAGTTATTAATTGTTCAAGAGGTTGATAATATTATGGCAAGATTAAGCAACTGTATTGTGGGCAACACTGTATTCTGCAGTGTGACATAGTAGCCCTGATTTTTGTCCTCTATTCCACGCGCCATAAACACCAATGTTTGAGCACTATCATAAGACATCAGTGACTTGAATCACTAATAATTTTTGTTCCTTACATTTGATCGAAAAGTGGTCTTCAACAAAGTTGTAGCTGAGAAAATTTTCAACAAGCTCAG